TCTAGAATGATTTGTACACCTCCTATATATATTTTCGTCCGGTGTTAAGTTAATTGTGCACCAAAGGCCAATTGACTCAACGCGTTGAGTCAACGTACTGAAGTTAATATAAATTCATCTCTGACAGGTTTGCGTTAATTGTACACCAAGTAATTAAAGGGTGCCTGATTGAGATTAAATTTTAAACAGTGCTGCATACCGAATAGCGTGCGTTAAGTTTGCTTTAAATCGATTTTCAAAAATCTGTCCCATTGTGCGCAAACGACTCTAAACTTGCCCAAATGAAATAAAATTTAGCATGGATTCCACAAAGACATAAAAATCACATGTTTAAGTTCATTCAATTTCATGTTAAAATACCTTAAAAAGGCGACGTCTTTTCGGATACATATGTAGAATATACCCAAAGTGGTAAAGGGTATCATATAGGTTCTAATTTGTTTTTATGTTTTCTACTTCTTCTTTATATATTCGGCAGGGCTTGTTGTTCTTATATATTTTATTTAGCATTTATATCGAAATAATTTGGAAAATTCATATGAGAATTTTGTAATTTATTCCTTGGGAGAAATAATTTAGGGAAAGAGCGAGAGGGGTAAATGAACGCAAATAGTGGTAAAGTAGAGCAAAGTAGTTGTAATATTAATGAAATGTTAATTTTTTGTTAGAAAAAATAGTGTCATTCTCATGATTTTTTCTGTGTAGAGATAACAGAACGCTATAAAAATGATTGTCAAGGCAAAAAGTATATAATATTGGCGGCTGAAAATTCCTTATGGGGATGAAAGTATATTAAGAACCCAAAGGGTCAAATTCATCATAGGTTAAGTTTTTGAGTTTATTTGCGAGGGACAAATGCAGATCGCTAAATTGTTGAACCGAATTAATAAACCTGATTTTTTACCGGTTTTATTCCACCGAATCGCATCATATTGAAGTGGATTTAAAGGTTCTCCTTAAATGTCTGCATTTTAGGGAGCTGGGGTACGTTTTTTAATCGAAATCGAATTGTAATTTGGTATTTTGGATTCCTATTTGTTACGAAATCCCTCAACTGAAAAATATCAATATTGGACCACTTTTTGTTATAATCCCCGTTAAACTTTTTGGAATCTCGAGGATTTTGAGCATGATTTTCTATCGAATTGTCAATAATTATGTATGTTAGGTTCTAATTGGATAACAAATCTTCATTCCAAAAATTATCAATATTTTTTGGGTAGCTCTCATATAACAATACTGAAAAGTTTTTGGGGCTTTTGAGCGCATTTTGGGATGAAGTCGATTTCTATTTGTTAACAACTCTCCTGTTTGAAAACAACTACTTTGTATTGGAAAAATCACGGAACACCTTTCATCATATGAACTTAACAAAATATGTCACAAATAAATGACAATTTCATTTCCTCTAAATTATCCCAAATTCTGTACATTAACATATCTTTAACACTAGAACGCCGAAGGCAGTCATTTTGACCGCTTTCCAATTTCAAGTACAAAAGCAACTGTGCATTTAATGACACTTTTTTTAAAAATATGGTGACTTTTTGTACCTCATAGAATTACGTTTATTATAAAAAATTCACCAAATTTTAAAAAAAATTGTCATTAAATGCACAGTTGTTTTTGTACTTGAAATTGGAAAGCGGTCAAAATTCCAAAAATTATCAATATTGTTTGGGTAGCTCTCATATAACAATACTGAAAAGTTTTTGGGGCTTTTGAGCGCATTTTGGGATGAAGTCGCCGACATTTTGGATTTCTATTTGTTAACAACTCTCCTGTTTGAAAACAACTACTTTGTATTGGAAAAATCACGGAACACCTTTCATCATATGAACTTAACAAAATATGTCACAAATAAATGACAATTTCATTTCCTCTAAATTATCCCAAATTCTGTACATTAACATATCTTTAACACTAGAACGCCGAAGGCAGTCATTTTGACCGCTTTCCAATTTCAAGTACAAAAGCAACTGTGCATTTAATGACACTTTTTTTAAAATATGGTGACTTTTTGTACCTCATAGAATTACTTTTATTATAAAAAATCACCAAATTTAAAAAAGTGTCGTTAAATGCACAGTTGCTTTTGTACTTGAAATTGGAAAGCGGTCAAAATGACTGCCTTCGGCGTTCTAGTGTTAAAGTCTAGCAAAGCTATTTCGCGATTTTACAATTGAAATAATAAATTAAAATTGAACTCCACTCTACAATACCTATTTATAAATATTTTCGAATCCTCACCAAGCAACAAACACATCTCAAAAAGAAAACATCTTCATTGTTTAAATATTTTAATATTATTAGAATAGATATTTAACAATGCCACACCCTAGAAGAACACTTCTTTGTTTGTTCGTTTGTTTGTTGTGGGATATTGTGTATATGGCGACTAATACATCTGAAAATTGCTTTAAAATTATCTCCACATCGTAGTCATTTGCAGACATTTCACGTTATAAACATGTACAAGTTGGCCATCAAGATGATGACGAATATTTATTTAAATCGTGTTGATATTTCTTCAAATTTGAATTCTCTGTTCGGACGAAGCTACAACAAATGTTCGGCATAATGAACTCAATTCAAAGTTCAAATATTTAACAAAATACCTCATCTATCTGTGTGTTGACGACAATTACAAATTTTGTTTCTTGTCGTACTTTTTGTTAGAATTAAATGCTCTTTTACGGGCACAAGCATTACCTACTTATTACGGCCCACGAAATTGCTTCAACGCCAAAACACAGCAGTGATACAAGTCAGATAAATGAAAAACATCGCTTCCAAGCACCCTTGTGCCTTAGTTGGAATTTGAAGGTGTTTCCCTGTGTAAAGTGTCTTCTAATGCTGTTGCTGATGGTGATGATGAGAAGGAGGAAAGCACAAACATTTAAAAGGCTTTAGGTGTTATATTTTATTACACTTGTTATTTGTTGTTAAACACCCTGAGCTTTATTTTTGGGGATTGTTTGAATTTAAATATAATCATGTTGTAGGTAGACTGTGTAGTTCCCTACAAAAGACTATGAAAAGAAGTGTTTATGGGCTGATTGGAAATAATTTTCATCGAAAGTACTTTATATATGTATATTATAAAGAAATCTGAATACTAATATAACACGTTTGCCAAAAAAGACATGAAAATGTTGAATATAATTTGGGACGTGTCCTTACACAAATCAATAAATTTGCATCGTCAATTTATTCAGTGAATTCCGCATATTCTTCATGATGAAATATATTATTGAACAAAATTCGGAAAGAAATACAGAAATTTACGAGCGTCAATTTACATTTTTTGAACAAGACAGAAGGCGGACAATAAGAATATTAGTGCAAAAAGTGTTAATCTAAATATTTGCTGCGTGACGTTGGATCCTAATAATGTAGGCCGGTTTTCGCTTTATTTGAAAAATGGTTTAAAGCTTTAAAAAAGCTTTAAACACAGTAATTAGTTTGGCGGCGCGTCTAACATGTCAGGCAATTCTAATGGAGTGCAGACCATTAGTAAATCAAAATTAATTTATGCGGTATACATTAATTGTTCTTTTCACATTTTAAAATTAAGTTTAAATGCTGCTTCGAATATTCGAGAAATTCGAAGAATATTTTCTACAATTGTGGACATTTGCTCATTCTTTAGAAAATCCAAAAAGGTTTGCTACTTTACATTACAACGAATACATTCATATTATAAGACACGATTTGTTGAGCTGAACAATTGCGTACAAATATTTAACGAATCTTAAGAAGAGATCGTAGAATCGTTGGAAAAATTGGGGGAAAATTGTAAGACTTTTTTATTTATTTCTAAGATGTAGATGTTTCAGTGCCAAGAAGGTTTGGTAGGCAAATGTAATGATTTTAATGAAATCATACAAGTTTATGAAAAATATCTGAAAGTGGATCTGTGGATCACTATATGGAAATCGAAAGATCCCAGACCATCTAATCCTAATACCAATTTACCACTTAACATACGTACAAATGATCTATATTAAAAAAAAGAAAACATTCGTCTAACATAAAATTTGCATACCGTGTTGGATTAAAATCGGATCAGATTTAGATATAGCTTCCATATATATTTTCATACGATTTCATCTAAATGATGTACAAAAAAACTAAAGTTTGTCCGATTGGGACGAATTAGTGTACAAAAGACCAAGTTGAACCTAGAATAACGTGTATTGGATTTTGTAAAATATATTCAGATGTTGGTATAACTGCTCTTAATTCCGTCTACGTTCATGAAAATGGCTTACGCCACAATTGTAAGCCGAACTACACAAATGTTCCATGGGGAAGGAGATTTGCCTAATAAATTAGAACGAATTATCGGTTAATATTGAGCAGGTCGATTGAATTGAATGCGTAGCTGTTGACAACTAGTCGATCAAATATAGCGAGGAAAGAATTTCGAACCATCAATATATAGAAGAACTCACATATACGGTACAACTTATTGAATGCAAATTGACGCAGGGTTCGGGTTATAATTGTGTAAAAATAGTCTCAAGGATATGATCTAACTCTACCGGTACCTAATGGTCGAGAGGAAAAAATTTTCGGCCAGCCAAACCTAAAGGCATTTTACTTGTTTTTTATCTATTCCAGATGTCTTTAATCGCCGAAAATATTAACATTCGAATTTTCCTACCACGTTATACGAATCGAAAGTATCTAAACCGGCTAAAGAATTTCTTATTTTTTTAAACATCGCAATCGTTACATTACTAATTTAGGGTACCACAAAATAGTTATCATCATTTTCATTCATTCATTTATGAATGTCATAGGCATTAGTCAAGCCGACTATAACTTTGCAGCAACAACAACAAAAACTGCTTCAAAGTGTGTCTCTTATAATGGTTTTGACATTTTGGTCATTTGATTCAATAAATACTAATTTGCCTGTATCCAAATTGTGTCTACACAAAATATTTAAAATATCAACTTCATAAATATCAATCAATACTGGTTTCGTTTATTTAATTCATATTCTCTTGTACGGCTTGACTTCTTTGGATGTTGGACACAACGGCGGCATCGACGGCAGCTTGAGAAATTTCTTTGGGGATGATGGTACCTTGTGGTTGGAAACCATTTTCATCGGCTACATATTCTACGAGAACTTCCTGGCCATCGGCATCAATGTAACGATAGGAACCCTTGATCACCAAGGTTTCACCTTCGGTACCGGCATTTTTGAGAAAACCAACTTCCTGACGTTGGGCGCCATCAGCACCCTCAAAGTAGTAGGTGAATGAGCCGTCGGAATTTTTTTCTTCACCCTGGTTAAGAATGGGTACAACTTTCTTCTCTACGGTGTTAACTTTGATGCTGGCAGCTGTGGCAAGAGCCAACAATGTGACGAAGACGTACTGTGGAAATAATAATACAAATTAAGATATTTCCCTTTTGTCCACATCAATTAAAGGTTACACTTACAAATTTGAACATTTTGTTGTTGTTTTTTTTTTAATTTAAAAGAATATGTATTTGAATGATTTATTTTTGGATACTTGATTAATACTGATTTGTTCTTCAAAGAAAGTGGTTCTTTTATAGTTGAAAATTTGTAGGTCAGTAGATTAAATATGAATATTTAATGTATTTCAGTATTAAGTGTAAAGTGTGTATTTGGGTCAAAGTGATTTACATATCGTTTTGGCCTCTTTGTTTATTAAGAACAAACATGGCAATGCTTGGAGATCTTTCACCTATTTAATTCTATTCTAAAAAAATACTTTGCAAATTGTGTTTTATACGGATGGGAAGAACATTTCTTGCAGTATAAAATCAACATAAATTATATATTTTAGAGAAATTCTTGATATTTTCCATAAAATATTTGCTTTACATTTTAAGTCTTTAGGTTCATGGCATTAAACTATAAATTTAGTGTCTCCAAATATGACATTGATGACGTCATAAGATTCGTTGAAAACGTGGACGAAAACATAACCACATACCCTTTTGAGTATATTCTTATTTGATTTTTTAACTCCAAATTAAATTATAAATAACATGGGATTCTGCGTCATCGAGAATTTGACAATCTGCGACTAATGTAAAATTTACATAAACCCAATGTACGACATAATTTTGGGGTAATCAGACATTCTTTTGATAATTCATTTGAATGAAATTGACCGAAATTTTATATAGGAGCTATATATTAGGTTGGGGAAAAAGAAATCCATTACTTTTATATGAACTATAGGTCTTTGTTTAACATGCAAACAACTCTAGTAATCAATTTTCATAATCCTCCCTAGATACCAATTTTTTATCAATTAAGAAATTTTGCAATGCAAAAATATATGATAATCGCTTGGTGCCAAGTCCGGACTGTATGGCGGATGCATTAAAACTTGCAACCAAGTTCCCGAAGTTTCTGGCGAGTCACTGTAGATGTGTGTGGCCTAGTTGTCCAGTTGTTGACAGCAGAGATCGTTTGGCCATGTGGAAGAAACTTATAACAAATAATCCCCTTCCAGCCCACCAAATGCATAGCAGAATCTTCCTGGCCATTAGTCCTGGTTTGGCCACCGTTTGAGGTATCTTGTAAATGTCTTATTTGTTGTATCATGACATATCTCGTATCGAATGATAAGTTATTTGTTACAGAAACAAAATCTGATTCGAATTCGAGTGACTACCATTCGTTCAAAAATACTTTCGATCGATACATATTGGGTTTTAGTGATAATAAAAGGATTAAATTAAGAATAGACCATTAAAGCGTTAGAATATCGAGAGACTTTGAGGACTCCACCTAAAATCGTTTTGTTTATTGTAGAAATGTAATCTTAAAATATACATAGAATAGCTACAAATGAAGATATGAAGTTATCTCTTCCGAATTTTGACCCATGCCGAATTTTTCCTTCTAGAATTTTCATATACCCACCAAGGTCTTTCATTCCCAAGACCACACCAATGTATTTAATTTCCAACAGTAATTTTCCACCCCCAAAATCTTGTCTTGTCTGTTTGTAACAGGCAAGGAATCGAGATAGACCCATAGTTCCTTTTGAGAATATGCATAGAATCACTTTCTGAGACGATTTACGCATGTCCGTCTGTCCGTCCATGTATTTTTGTGAACAAAGTACAGGTCGCATTTATGATCCGATGTGGATGAAATTTGGTACAGTTCACTTATTTGGCCCAAGGACGAACCCTATTGAAATTGGAGGAAATCGGTCCAGATTTAGATATAGCTCCCATATATAGTTTCGTCCTATTTAATGTAAATGGTGTACCAAAGTGCCCATATATCTTTCGATTTGCACGAAATTTGGCATAACGTACTGAATTGAGCCTAGAGTGATGTCTGCCAAGTTTCGTGAAAATCGGTCTAGATTTAGATATAGCTCCCATACATAGTTTCGTCCGATTTTATGTAATGGGGCACCAAAGTCCATATATATATCTTTCGATTTGCACGAAATTTGGCATAACGTACTTAATTGAGCTTAGAGTGATTTCTGCCAAGTTTCGTGAAAATCGGTCCAGATTTGATGTGGCTTCTATATATAGTTTCGTCCGATTTTATGTTAAAGGTTCACCAAAGTCCCTATAAATCTTTCGATTTGCCCGAAATTTGGCATGGCGTACTGAATTGAGTCTATAATAATGTGTGCTAAATTTCGTGAAAATCGGTACAGATTTAGATATAGCTTCCATATAAATTTTCATCCGATTTAGTAAAAATAGTGCCAAAGTCCCTATATATCTTTCGATTTGCACAAAATTTGGTATACCATATTGAATTGAGCCTAGAATGATGTGTGCTGAGTTTCGTGAAAATCGGTTTAGATTATGATATATATTTACGTCAGATTTAATGTAAATAATGTACCAAAGTTCTAATATTGCATAGATCGATTGATTTTAAGTAATTGACGCACCAAGGAACCAATATATGGATGCTAGGAACAAAACGTACTGAAATTAGTATAACTCAACCTGTGACAAGTTTCGTTGAAATCGGTTCATATTTGGATATAGACTCCACATATATTTTCGTCCGATTTTAAGTAAACGGTGCAAATGGTGTTTGTCAGATTGATATGAAATTTTGCACAACGTTCAAAACGGTCCAACATTTGTCCCATTGTAACAAACAAATGACATGTTTATAGATTGATCTCAGTCGATTCACATTTAGATAAATATCACATATTTTAGTTCATCCAATTGCATGTTAATAGACCTGTTTAATCCGACTTTACCTCTTTCCTTACTGTTTTTTTTTGTTTTTTTTTTTTTTGCAAAAATCCATAAACAAATGCACTGGCGGGCATGCAAAAATCGACTCAAAAAGTGATTCCATACCAATCCTCAAAAGCCAACCCAATGAGACAGGTGGTCGCTGACGTTCAGGGACTAGGTTCTTTAGAATCAGCCAGTTTTGTGTTTTGTACTTGTCGCTTTATCTCACACTCCTTTTCAGCATTTTAGGTTTTAATCGGATTGTGTTCATTCCCCTATTTTATTTATTTATATATTTCATAGTGCCCAGTCTTTCGACCGTAAGGCTGTAAGCTACATTTCACAATTAAATATAAATTTTATCGTATTAAGCGGCTTAAATGTAAAAGGGAGGGATATTGAACTACTAAAGAATATTATACCGATTAAATTACAAAAAAAAGTTTTTGATTATTATAGGTTATGATTAAAAAATTTGATTAATTGGATTATGAGTACTCCAGTAGGAATGGAATGGAAAATTATTATATATAAAAATGAGTTGTGTTTTTATCTAAATAATTTATATCACAAATATAAAAAATTAAACATACATACGTACATTAAAAAATTTAATTGAATTTGAACTACTCCAACATTTCTTTCAATTTTCAATGCAATTTTTCATACAAAATTCTTCGACCATTTGACTCGCTAAATCTTGTTCGGTTAGATTTAGCGAGCCATTGCTATTCCCCCGGCAGACCACTTTATTCGAGTATAATTGTGTAATATTGGGATCAGTATTGTGGCCTCAAGATTGACCAAAAAGAACAGACAAAAATTAAATGTTTGGTCCATTTCATTCACTAAATATTAACCGACCATTACAATGGGCGGTCGTCTTCTGCCTGAATCGAATCTACATGCTAAATTTCGTGACAATTATTTGAATATGACGATCGGTATGCTAAAAGATAATTCTACGATCAATTTCGCATATTTTAATTTTCGGTATGTTTTCTTAAAAAGTAAATAATTTCAGTCAGAGTATCCAATATGTCAAAACATGGACATAGTTTAAAGAGACTTTCAATCTGTGAGCATAGGCCCCTTCCTCGGGGTGTTATGACTCACTCACTTACTAAAAACAGTTTAGGTGAAAATCTATTTATACCTTCATGGTAAAATGCAATCTTGAAGTAAGATTATAACAACTTTTTATTTGGAACTGATTTATTTTTAATAATTTAAGCTTTGTTCGAATCTTTTTACATATCTCTTTTGCCAATAATTTAATACATTGATTTATAGGTGAATACAATTAATCGAAAATAAAACCTAAACGTAATCTCACCGGTAAAATTTTGTAATAAAACTTTTATAAAATTGAGAAACAACAATTAATATAATATTCTTAAATATTAATATTCTCTACTTAATCAATCATCCCTCCACCATTGCTGCTAAATGTGATTCCTATAATGATATAAATTAATCATCATTGTAATTCAATAAACTTTTTTTTTTGTTTTTGTATGAGAAAATCGCAATTCCATTGGCTGATACAATCAATGCCAGTTACATAGTTGTATCAAATAAATACATAACAATTTGTTATAGACAAATCAGAAAAAAAGATTCCCGAAGATCGACTGAATTCAAATGTAAATGTTTAGAAAATGCATTTCAGATATATTTTGGGATTGGCTAGTAGCCATGCTAGACAGACAATCATTCTCTATGGATGGTTGCTCAAATCACACATAAACATACACACACACGCTTCGATATTTTCGTAGAGTCTCATCATCAGTGGCATCATCAAAGCAAACATTTAGGATTTACGACTGAGCGACTGTCAGTTTTACTAACAAGTGTAGGTGAAGACTTAAACACATTTTATAGAATTAATGTTATAAATTTATAATGCAACAACAAACCAATGGCAACAACAACAATAAACAAAAAGTCAAACATTAAATAAATCCATTTTCTATTGTCGTAGTCTCCAAAGACAAGAGTTACGTTGCCATGGCATGTAGATGACTGAAGCTATGGAAGATTGAGTGCTAATTCAAATGCAAATCGATACGTGGTGTGTTTAATAAGTTCTCGAATGAAAATAACGATATTGAGCATCAGACCATATTATGTGGAATAAAATAAGTAAATAAGGACGATTTTATTTGGTTTATATAATAGTATTTTTGATTATTTAAAAAGAAATTTAGTAAAACAAGCAATGACATTGTCTTGGC